CCTTTTGGTTATTGTGAGTAATACTCCAGTGAACATCAGTGTACAAGTATCTGAGTCCCTGCTTTCAGTCCTCTTAGGGATATAGCTAGGACTGGAATTCCTGGGTCTTGTTCTTTAACTTTCTGAAGAACTACCAAACATTTCCACAGTGGTCACACCATTTTACGTATCTACCAGCAATGGACAAGCATTCCAATTTCTCTACAGTGTTACTTTCTCTTTTTGTTCATGTTGGTTTTTTTTTTTAAAAAAAAAAGTCTGTTCTTTAAATTTTATTATTTAGTTTTACAAAAAGATAATTATAATTGTGTTGTTCTCATTTTCTTGCAGACCTGTGTTTGGAAATCAGTAAGGACCCTTTCAACTCTAGAATCCTTGCAATCTAAATATAGAAATATGCAACAAACTTATTTAAAATAATCTGAAATTATATTCTACACATTTATTTGTGCCATTCAGTAAACATTTACACTTGGATACAATGATAATCCAAATTAATCACCATTTCTATTTTCATGGAGCTTAAAAATATAGTGACATTCTTCAGTAATCAAATAATCATAATAGTTTTCATTTTGGAGTAAACACGGGTGTCAGATATTGAGTTACATGCTCTATATCTCATTGAACATCAAAATAAGCAATGAGGTAGACAAAAATAACCCCATGTTGTTAAAGAAGAAAGTGATTGAATTCACACAGCTGATTGGAATGGACTTCAAATATTCCTAATTCCAAAACCCATGTTCTTTTCATTACACCCTGTTGTCGCTATCGAAGTAATTTACTTTCTTTTTATTTATTTATTTTGTATTATTATTGTGATTTGGCTGAAGATTTACAGAGCAAATTCACTTTCCATACAGCAGTTTACATATACTTTGTCTCATGACATTGACCATAGTTTACCACAATGCAACAGCTTCCCTCCCACTTCCTCCCCATAGTTACCTCTTTTCAATGTCCATCCCTCCATGGACTCCTGTCCCCTAAGCTGTCTCCCTATGCATAGAGAGCCCTTCTTTCTCAATGATTGTTCTCTCCAAGGAGTGTATCTACCTCAGGTAAATGTTCAACTCATATGCCTATCTTTTGTTTGGCTGGAAACCACGGTGTGGGTTCAATTCCAGACCTGAAGGGCAGCTAGGGGCCATAGTCTCAGTGGTTCCACCAGGCTCTATCGGACCAGCAAACCTGGTCCCCCCCCTTTTTTTTTCTTCAAATGATTTTGAGTTTTGTTCCACATTGTTCTTCCTCTCTATCAAGGATCTGCTACATAGATCCTCTTCCAAGTGGATGTCAGTGGTAGCCGGGCACCATCTAGTTCTTCTGGTCTTATAGTCGCATAGGCTGCAGATTGGATGGTGTAACAGTCGCCAAGACTAATTGTTTCCATGGATTTTGGTTTTCTTCATTCTTCTTTGCTCTGGATGAGGAGAGACCCATCGTTGCATCTAGATGGCAGCTTGCTAGCTTATAAGATCCCTGTAGCTACTCGCCAAAGTAGGAGGTGGAACAATGTTTTGTATAATATGTTATACAATTGAGCTTGATGTCCCCTGCGACTGTGGTCCCAAGCCCGCAGGTTCAACTACTTGGTCCCTCTGGGTAGCTGGCTCGTGTTGGTTTTTGTTTTTGTTTTTTGATACTAGCCATCCTAGTGGGTGTTAAGTGGTATCTGATGATGGTTTTGATGTATTTCCCTAGTGATTAATCTTTTAGTCATCTTTTTTCATGTACTTATTGGCCATTTGTATATTATCTTTAGAGAAATGTCTGGGCAGATCTTATGCCTATTTTTTAATTCGAGTTCCAATATTTGAGAACATCTTCCCTATCCTGAGTAAGGTCCCTTTTGCTGCTTTCTTTTCAGGCACAAGCTACCATACTCATACTTCCTCCTCAGCTGAGAACTTTGAGCTTCTCATCATTAGTTCCCTAGTGCTATATTCCTCACTCTGATTGTTGGGTGCTAAACTGTGGAAAGAGGCTGTATTGCAAAGGTTAATTTTCTTTCATAGATTGGGTTTGATTAAGATAACTAAACTCAACTTACTGCTATCCAGTCTAATCCAACTCATAGCGACCCCTCCTTGGGTTTCCAAGGTGGTATCTCTATGGAAGTAGATTGCCCAGTCTTCCTTTCAAGGAGTGGCTGATGGGTTTGAACCGCACTGTGCCACCACAGCTCCCTTGATTAAAATACGGTACTAAAATTTATTTTTACCTGTAAGGAGTATAAGCTACTCCTAAGGACCCTAATTTATCTGACTGATTTCCTTCTCATTATACCAGAATAGTACTCAGAAAACAATGACCCTTATAAGTTATATAGTTATATATTTAATGTATTTTATTGAAATATAATTTATGTACAGTGAAAGACACAAAACTAAAGTGACATGGGTCAATGCTTTTTTTTTTTGCACTATTCCCTCCCCACCCCTCCCATCCCTGGCAACCAAAAAAGTTTCCCTCCATATATAAACCTTTCCTTGACCCTCCACAGCAACAAACTAATACTATATTTGTCCTTCTGTGATTGACTTATGTAACTCAGCATAATGTCTTCCAAGTGCATCCATATTATGCGGTGTTTTGCACACTCTACATTATTCTTTAGTGCTGCCTAGCATTCCAGTATGTGTATGTACCATGGTTTGGTCATTCACTCTTCTGCTATAAATCTTAGAGATGAGTCCTTGCCAAATATGTAATTACTGACAAGTATGAATTTGTTGCTGTCATTTTTGTTATGTGCTTTTTCATGGTGTTGATTTCTTTGTTCCATATAATTTTGTAGGCTGAGCTCATTTTGTTTGTGAATTGTGTTATCACTTCCTTCATTGCTATTATTTTAGTATTTGCTGAATATTTATGCTGGTCCTCTTTTTTGATGTGAAGGTTTATCATTTTTGTTTGAGGTTACCCTGTGATTTATAGTTTTCTTGCCAAGTTTAGAACAGTCTGTTCTATCTTGTAGTTGTCTTGACTTCCCTACCATCTAGAAGTTCTGTAATGACACAGTTTTTCCCCTCTTTTTGGTTTGTAGTTATCTTCATTTGTCGATTGATATCTCTGGTTCCCTGTTTTCAGTCTTGTAGGCTTCTTTACTTTGGATACTTCCATAGCAGGGTTGGTTTCTGGGTTATATCATCATATGTGTTAATGGTCAGTTGTTGTTGGCTGTTGTGGCTTCTCTGTCCAAAGGACTCCCTTTAGGTTGATCTGGTTTTAACAAATTCCCTTAATTTCTGCTTATCTGGAAATGTCCTAATTTCACCATCATATTTGAGGAACAGTTTTGCTGGGTACATAATTCTTGGTTAGAAACTTTTCTCTTTGAGTGTTTTATATATACCATTCCATTGTTTTCTCACCTGAATGGTTTCTATTGAGTAATCCAAGGTTAGGCTTATTGTTGCCCCTTGTAGGTAACTTTTTGTTCTTCCTGTGCTGCTGTCATGATTCTTTCTTTGTCTTTGTTTTTGGTGAGTTTGATGATGATATGTCTTGGTGTTTTTCTTTTGGGGTCTATCCTGTTTGGGGTTCATTGAACTTCCTGAATGGATCTATTCTCATCTTTCATCATAGCAGGAAAATTCTCTTCCAACAAATCTTTGACAGTTTTCTCTTTGGTTTTATTTGTCTCTTCCTGTTCTGGAATTCTGGTTACACATAAGTTATTCCCTTTGATGGTATCCCACATGAATCTTAGGCTTTCTTCTTTTTGTTTTGATCTCTTTTCTGATTTATGCCTTTCCAAAGACGTGTTCAGGTATTTGCCTTCAATCTCCCTAATTCCGTCTTCCGTTGATTCAGTTCTGCTCCTTTGCCCATTCAATGTCTTATCTATTTCTGAAAATTTAGTATTAATCTTCTGGATTTCTGTGTGTAGATTTTGTATCATTTCTAATTTTTCATTTATTTTGTCATTTTGTTCTTGTATTGCCTTTCAAAATTGTTCTAGGGTTTTCTCTGTGTTTTCCATGATCTGCCTCTCAATTCGTTGAAGATAGATAAATACAATTCTTCTGAATTCCTTAGCAGGGAGTTTAGTGCTGCATGTTCCTCAGGGATATGTTTTGGGTCTGTATCCTGGTCCCTTGTTTCTCCTGCTTTATCTTGCTTCTTTGTGTGGACTGTGATGCTCTGTTGTCTCTGAGGCATTGTGACGTTTTTGTGTTTATATTTAATTGGTGATTGTATGTTGGAGTGACTTGCCCACGATTTTAGTGTTTTTTTGTAGGTTATCTATGCAAGTGGGGTACTGTGCTCCTCTAGTCACTAGTTGACAGGACTTACGCACTCACCACCTGTCTCCTTTGTTTCAGCCTCTCGTATGTCCCTGCCAACCTTGGCAAACAGAGCCTATTCATAGGTTTCTGGAATTCAAATGAGAATGCTATCACTTTAAAATCCAAAATGGTTGCCACTTGTAAAGATTCAAAATGGCTGCGCCCTCTGGACAGCGGAAAGTCAACAGCTCAGGTTGTCTCCCTCCTTGCTGTTTCCGTTCCTAGTGGTAGGCCACCCACGCACTCGTCCCTGTAGCCCTTGTGACCAAGATTGAACTTTAGGTCAATTCTCAGGTCCCAGCACCACTTGAAAATATTCAGGCTATTGATCCCATCAGAGTAGCTGACAGTCTGTAGCTCTGACCATCTCTGTACTCACTGTTTTTGTTCAGGTTTTTCCATTAGTTGGTGCCTAATCCACTTCTGCGTAGTTCCTTTCAAAGCTCAGGGCTCCAGGATTATCTTCTGTATCTGTGAATTTGTTTTTCTTTTCTTCGTTGAAGAGGGTCTGTGGCGCTTGTCTGCCTATTCCTCCATCTTACAGGAAATCTATTTTTTTAACTTCTTTTTAACCTTGTGTTTCTTTTTGAAATTGACCACATTATAGTTTTGCTACTGACATTTTCCCTGTATTTGTCAAAACATGTAAGAAACAACTTATTTTGACTGTATGGTGAACAATAATTATCTTGTTTCTTTTAGGACACCATGTAAAATTGAACCTAGTATAAACCACATTCTAAGCACCAGAAAGCCTAAAAAGGAAGAAGAAGATCCCTTACAGAGAGTTCAAAGCTATAAACAAGAGTCTGAGGAGAAGAAAGAGAAGATGATGTATTGTAAGGAGAAGATTTATGCAGGAGTGGGAGAATTCTCTTTTGAAGAAATCCGGGCTGAAGTTTTTCGGAAAAAATTAAAAGAGCAAAGGGAAGGTGTGTGTATTGATCTATATCAAGTTAGTGAAAATTGTTAGCTTAACTATGTAAGGTTGGACTGATTAAGTCTGAAGAAAATTGCTCTATTTGTACCCTTTTGTGATGTTTCTATGGCTGTTCTGTTTCTCTCAGTATTTAAGCTGAGCTCTCTTTGTGGCTTTCCATAAAATCCCTGGGGGAAAATAACAAGTCAGTGTTTAGAAGCAAAGGAGGAAAAGAAGCTATGAGCTGTAGGAACAATAGTCTCCAGTGCAACTGACAGATAGCTATGATCCTGACATGCATCTTATATGTACATGACATGCCTCCCCACTAAGTATTTTCCCTAATGATGCCTGAAATATGTTACTTAGCCTTTGATATCTGTCTGTATTTTCTTCAATGGCTTGTTTAGCTTAACTGCTCAGTCACACCTCAGTCACTTAGGTGATAATTGTTTGTACTGTTTGTTAAAGACATTATCTTCTTTCCAAATTAAGGTAGACTTTACTATAAATTGAGAAACTGGGAATTTTGGAAAGTGGGAAGCAGTTTGGATTCTGGAGCTTACAATACTTGGGGGCGAGAGAGGGAAGATAGGAGGTTTGGCATTTGGAGGTTTAAGACATTAGAAGGTAAGGGAGAGTATGGAGAACACATAAAATGGAATGGGAGAGTGTAAAAATGGAATAGTAGAAGCAACTGACCTCCACTGACTTCATGAGGGGCAGAGAGAGAATCACCATCAGCTTGCATCCAAGGCTGATTCCTATGATGTGGAGGTTGTTAAACATACCTCCACCCTCTAACCTTTTTACCGATTCTGACACCATCCGTCCCTCTTGTGATGCCTTCTGCTTCTCTGAGTTCAATAATCCATTGTAATTGGCCACCTAGAATTCACAGACAATACTCAAGATTATGGGGTTGATTAGGGAAGTAATAGATTACAATTCAGGATCACGAACAACTCAGAATACACTTCTTCAGACAGGACAGCTTCTTATCTGTGCCCACAAACAGGCCTCCCTGACCTTCGGCCTCTCGTCCCTCGGGCCTCTTGGGCCAGCTTTGCCCTGCACAAGCAAGTGCCCAAGGGCACCAGACTCTACCAGTTAGCCTCAGCCAAAAGGTCCTTAGCTTTCTCACGCTGGACCAGCTCACTGTGCATCTCCTCATGGTCTTGTGGTTGTGCTGCCTCTGCTGCCACTGTTTCTCTACTTCTGCTTCTCACTGTCTCACATCATCTCCAGTGTTACAGCTCATTCTCTCTCTCTCTGTCTCTTGGGTCTAGGAGGTTCTTGTGTAGGGATCCTAGGTCCAAATCATGCACTCCACTCCTACTTTTCTCTCTTCTTGGTAGTGAGGGCCCCTCTCCCCCCCTCTGGGATGGCTTATTTTAAGAAAGCAGGATGGTATAACTGACCAATCCCCTCATTAGGGTTCCATACATCTTACTTGCATGATCTCACCCCCACAAGGGTACCTTGTAGGTTATTTGCGTTATTAGCAAGCTCTCCAATCCCCAGCCAGGAAAGTGGGGGAAAGAGAAGTTAGAGGGGATGACAGAACAGACCAGCAGCCAGGGATCCAGGTAAGGGGAATGAACCACACCCCCACCAGCCAGGAAAGCAGGGGAAAGAGAAGCCAGATGGGAAGACAGAGCAAAGCAATAGCCAGGGATCCAGGTAAGGGAAGTGACCCAGGCCCTACTCCCACCACCCAGGAAAGCAGAGAAAAGAAGCCAGAGGGGACAACAGAGTAGGCCAGCAGCCAGGGATCCAGATAAGGGGAGGGTGGAGAGGTTTCGAACAGCTAAGCGAGACAAACTTGTCTGTCAGTTTGTTGTACTGTTGTGGCTTGTGTATTGCTGTAAGGCTTGAGGCTGTGCCACCAGTGTTTCAAATGCCAGCAGTGTTGCACACGGTGCACAGGTTTCAATGCAGCTTGCAGACTGAGACAGACTACAAAGAAGGAAGAGGCCATCCACCTCTCAAAGAATTGGCCAGGAAAAAACCTTATGAATAGCAGAGAAACACTGTCTGATACATTACTGTGCAACTTTATGAATAGCCTGGAAACATTATCCGATACAGTGCAGGAGAATGAGCCCCTTAGGTCAGAAGGCTTTCAAAATAAGACTAGGAAAGAGTTGCATCATCAAAGTAGGACCAACCTTACTGATACGGTTAAAGTAAAGCTTTCAAGACCTCCATTTGCTGACGTGGCACGACTCAAATTGAAGAGAAAGAGCTACAAACATCCAGTAATATTAGGAGCATGGAATATATGAAGTATGAATCTAGGAAAATTGGAAGTTGTCAAAAATGAAGTGGAATGCATAAAGATTGATATCCTAGGCATTAGTGAGTTGAAATGGACTGGTTTTGGCCATTTTGAATCAGATAACCATATGATCTGCTGTGCTGGAACTAACAATTTAAAGAGGAATGTTGTGGCATTCATAATCGCAAAGGCTGTTTCAAGATCTGTCCTGAAGTACAATGCTGTCAGTGATAGGATAATATCCATACGCCTACAAAGAAGACCCGTTAATATAATTATTATTCAAATTTATGCACCAACCACCAAAGCTAAAAATGAGGAAATTAAAGATTTTTTATCAACTTCTACAGTCTGAAATTGACCAAATGTGTAATCAAAATGTGTTAATTATCACTGGTGACTGGAATGCAAAAGTTGGAAAACAAAGAAGAGTCATCGGTAGTTGAAAAATTTGGCCTTGGTGACAGAAATAGCACTGGAGATTGCATGATAGAATTTTGCAAGACCAACGACTTACTCATTGGAAATACCTTTTTTCAACAACACAGACAGCAGCTATACATTTGGACTTTGCCAGATGGAGTACACAGGAATCAGATTAACTCCATCTGTGACAAGAGGCAATGGAAAAGCTCAATATCTTCAGCCAAAACAAGGCCAGGAGCTAATAGTGGAACAGACTATCAATTGCTTATATGCAAGTTCAACTTGAAGTTGAAGAAAATTAAAAATTGGTCCACGAGTGCCAAATATGACCTGGAACATATCCTTCCTGAATTTAGAGACCATCTAAAGAATAGATTTGATGCATTGAACACCAATGACTGAAAACCTAAAGAATTGTGGGATAAAATAACACGAATAAGAAATGAAATGGGTGACATCACAACAGAACCAACTGAAATAAAAAGGATAATATCAGGATACTATGAAGAACTGTATTC